TTTTCTTTTTTTTTTTTTTTCCTCCGTTTTATCCTTTTTATTTCGCTTTTTTTCCTTTACACGAAAAAAAGTAAACTAAACTAAGAGAGAAAGTGTTTTTTTACAGGTGATAACAGATTCGATAAACGCATTTACGCATCTATTTCTATTTCAGAATCGTGGAACAATTCGTTTTTTCTTTACTACTTCTATTATCTTGTCAATATCAATCAAGAGGAGTTTCGATTAATTGTTGTTAATTAAAAAAAAAAAAAAGGAAAATTGCACGATCAACTTTAATCAACTTTAAAGTTTCTTTAATTTTAAATTCGATAATTACAAGTGAATAATATTTGTTGCAAAAATTTGATAGCAATATTTAATAATTTATCGTAACTCGTGCGCAAAGGAGATTAAAAGTTTACTTCATTCTGATGTATGCATGATATTACAAAGAATTATTCAGAAAGCATAATTCTCTTCAACAGGCCCAATTTCGAATTCCTTTTCACTAATAAACAGCCACAAAATACGCCAAATTTATCTTCGTTTATTTTACACGAATTTCAATCTCTTGATACGTATATTTAATGCCAATCTGTTTGTGAATTATAATCGGGCAATTAATCATCAAAATTGGACGTCGCCTCACTGATTATTTTTCAAATCCTCTATGAGCATCATAACAACATTTCATGGACCGATGAAAACTCGATTAAATTCCAATGCTTTTCCACCTTAATGGTACGCCTAAATGATACCGCTTTGCATTCGAATCGTTTCTGGAATGATTCGATTGGAATTATTCCTGCCACGAGGTACATATCCCCGGTATTTGATCGCTTATATATCGCTCCTATATTGTTTTCGTTTCAACGCTCGTGAAACTTTAAATTCAAAAGTTATTGGAAACCAGAAATTATTATCGGTCGTGTTCGATGAATGTGTTCCGCTATTTTATCGAATATTTATGACATTATGTTAATCCCAATTTGGAAGCTTATAGCTTATAATAAATAGATTACAAAGTGGTTTTTGAACGGTTCTCATAATTATTTTTTTATTTCAAATATTTTATACGGTTGCACAAATAAATGAATGGCTACTGTGTGTAAATTAAAGTCATTGAAAAAAAATATTAAAAAAGTCCAATAGTAATAACTCATAGATTTATCTGAGATTCGAAATTATAAATCATATCGAAAAAAGTTTCGAACAAAGGGAACAAACTTTTATATGTTTCTTCTTTTTTTGCAAAAAAATCGAATTATATCAACGTTACGAAATTAATCAACTTTTGTGCAAAATTGTTTTGATATAATTGCACAATTTTTAAAATATTTCACCTTGTATAATTGTGTGAGTATCTATAATTTTCCACGAAAATATTTTCATTTCCTATTTTCGTCTAATCTGATTCTTTCTAAAAATATGTTCTATCCTGTCAAAGAGGATGAAAGAGAGTCGTGTGTGTCGAAAACTTTGGAAAATATTCTATTACATGATGTATGATTTTTAAAAGGAAACAATTTCCTGTCCTTATCCAATCTGCATAAATTCCCCTTATAAATAATCGATGGAAGTCAGCGTGGTGTTATTAATGGAAGTCGACGTCTCTTGATAGCGAACGTCTAGATACCATCAGGTTACCTTCATTAGAGCTTCTTTGAAGAATATGAAGTTTCCGTACTGTCATTATTACCGTGCACGTAGTTCAAAATCTTTGATCTAGAATTCCGAAAGTAATTACGTTGCTCTCGATTTTACATTGAGATGATGAAGATGTGTAAACAGAGGAAACAGAGGAATTTTGAATTGATAGGATTCAAATAAATTCCTCATACGAGGAATTACAATTTATCACGTATCCGTGGCCATCCTTCGTTCCCAATCTTTCTGAATTTTAAAATTATTAAATATTTCGTTTACAACGTTGAAAATATTTACGCAAATATGTAATTTGATCTAAAGAGAGCGAGAATAATTATTCAGACACTTAAAGTGATTAAATTCGTACGAAATAGGAGTTAAATTGATTCAGAATATCCATTTTGGTGAAGCGATGATTGCATTTACTGCGCTTAATTTATTGATTTTCATTCGATAAATGCTGGTAACAATTTTAATACGAATTTCGACCAATTAATAATATTCGTTTGATAGAATAATAATTATCGAACAAACTCTCTCTCTCTCTCTCTCTCTTCTTTTACTTAAAATTATTGATGTTACGACATTAACGATTCACATGTATTATTACGATCTCTAAAAATTGTAAAGGATAAATTTTAGTAGTAGTAGATAAAAAAAAAAATTTATTCCAAATCAGAGAAATGGGATTATTTCTGTCTACGAGAAAAGAAAAGTTCGTATTTCTTTCTTAGAAGTTTTTCGCACAAGGACGCCGAGAGAGATAATATAAGAACGTTCTTTCTTTCTAACACGTTTCCCACCCTGTCAACGTGGTTGAAAAATTGTACCATGGATATTGGCTGTTTCATAAATTCTAATATTAACGAAGTGCAGAAGCGTGTGTTTGATTCACTTATAAAAAGAATACGGCGTTTGCCCGTAGGAAGATGATGCTGCGCTTTCAAGGTGAACAAATTATACTGTAAAATAGGGAAGGAACAAAGTTTCGAGTAAGAAGGAAAATTCAAACTTCCTGGACTGGATTTTGTATTAATTATCCTTGAGAAACTTATTTGTTATACGATGTATTCGATTATACTAACATTTATATATATATATATATGTAATGCATCATACGTATGAGAATTATTTATAACTTAAAGAAAAAGTTGATACTCGTTAGAATTAAGAATTTATTACAATGGAAAGTGAAGAGCATCTTGTTTGTCTCTATGTATGAATAAAAATAACTTTCAATTTTTTTCATATCAAAGTTGTATATTGTTTTAATCAAAATGAATATGGAAAAAGATAAACATTGTACATTGTAAAAACTAATTCATTATTCTTTAATGATCTGAAAACGAATCATTCGACATGCGTAGGATTGTAAAAGTATTCATTTCAAAAATTTGAAATGAAATGGAGTTACTTCGAAAATCAATGGCCGTGCATGCAATCGTGCATACGAATCATCAACAGAAGGTAGAAAGAAATCGTCTCTGGCTATCTTCACTGTTCCAACAAGATACTTACTTTTTATTACGCCTCTATTGCGAGTACCGCTCTTCCTATCTCCCTTTTATTAGTGGCATTTTCTTTTTATTGTAACATTTAGTACCTACGTTGTTTCTTTTTATCGCGAAATTGGATTTTACTTAAAATTTTCCTCTCCTCTAGTGCAAGAGATAAATCTGGTGGAACAACGAAATAGGTTGAACCGACAGTGTACCTGTATTTCACTTTGAGGATCAATCTTTCAGGATCGAAAATAACTTCTTTTTTTTTTTTTTTTTTTTTTTCAAAAACCAAAACGTAATCGCATTCGTGCACCTCTCGCGTTTCTTAAAGGACTTTACATCGATCCTCGTTCCCATAAGTTTCTCTAGACTGAGAGCTAATTTTCCAGCATAAAACCTTGGAAGTTACATCAAATGTCTAGGGGGACACCGATCTCCTGTAGTAATATACTTATCGAAGTTACGATTAACAAGCTTTCACCTCTTAGTGAAAAGTCTGCTGTAATCCTTACTGTTCGCGAGTAAGTTGTGAAAAAAAATTTTTCCTTTTTCCAACAACAACAAACGAACAGAAAAATAATTTTTTACTTCGAAAGTAATTACAAGTTTTATTCGTCCTTTTTGTTTGCGTCATCTCATCCCGTTCGTTGAATAGAACAAAAGTTTTATCGCAATCATAAGTAAATTACAACTTTTATTCTTTGCCGAGTCTTCGTCTCTCGATGTTTATCGTTTGCAAATAAATCTCTCTCACGAAAAAAAAAGAAATTTTTTTTTTCCAACTTTGATTAAAACGATATTGGAAAAATATTTAACAGGAATAGGATAAAAATTATGTAAAATATAAATCCTATGGAAAAATTATAATGTTAAATAAGATCTTTTTAGAAATACGATTTCCTTTTCTAAAGTGATCCCTTTAGTTAGTTTCTATTCTAATTAATTCTAGATAAATTGGTCAAATTTGTGGAAAAGAGATCATCGCTTTAGAAAGAATATTAACAACGATTATCGATTAATTCCGAGAAAATTATGACAAAACATTTCGTTCAAATTTGAAACACAAGAGTAAATCTTTGAATAATCAAACGAATCGAACAAATATCGATAAAATAAAAGGTAAAGAAATAAGGTTACAATAAGAACGAAAATATAGTTCAATTTTTCCAGTTTCACTCGTTTGTATACATTCGTGTGAAAATGTTGAACCAAAAAAAAAAAAAAAGAGAAAAAATAGATTATCAAATACAAACTGGAATGCGTGAAAAGCGGATTTTTCAATTAACGATTTTTCGTTGAACGAAAAGAAGAAAGAAAAGTCGCTTACCGTTAAAGTTGCCAACTCGGCAAACTAATTTGGGATTCGTAATCGCACCTAATTTATTGGATCGAGAGAATTAACTTGGTCTTCCGGAATTTCAAACCTTGTTAAATTGGCTTTTGTCACTCCTCCTAGTCGTCGATTCGACATTTCGACGCGACAGATTTTTTGACATGTCGAAACCTGTGTTACTTTGAAAATCAATCAAACTGTACCAAGCTGATCCCCTCCAAAAATTCGAGAATTCTTCGATAATTTAAAATTAAAAGGAAAACTTTAATCTAATCTAATTTTTAATTTAAAAACGAACAAAATTTATTTCGATTGTATTAAAATGACAATGTGATGATTAAAATAATTCTTTAATCCTAAGTGCAATATCTAATATTCTCACTGAAACTACCACACCGATAAAAATATCCTAACACGCGAAATAACAACGTAAGTAAACGAACATTTATTATTTATTTTATTCCATAAAATTTCCATCTATCGTGTCGCGCAACAAGCATATCTAACAAAATAAGAAACAAGAGGAACATACACGATAAAATTTCCACCAAATCGAATATCTTCACATCTGTACGTGAATCAAAGCAACAAAGAATCGAAAACTTTCGAGATTCTTTCGAGGCCTGGAACCATGCTACCACGAATAAATCCAATTCTGTTCGCAGGACGTGACTCGTGAGGAGCACGTATCCAAGGATTCTTTCAAAGGATGTCCAAGCTGCTTCTCGCGACCCTGCTTCTCCCTCTAACCATCCTTTCTCGCGTCGCCTGCAAATTGTCCGAGTCCGACGAGTCGGACAGCTATTCCAACCTATACCCTTTCCTGGAAAAATGGGCCAAGACCAGCCACACGAAGATGCTGACCGTGGTATTCGACGACTTCCAACCATCCCCCATCGACATCCCCGCCGGGATGCTGATCGATTTAAACGTGTCCACCAGGCTGGTTACTTTGAAACATCTGATATCTCTTCCATCCAAGGACAGGGGGCGTGATTATCAAACGATAGAGACGGAAAATTGCGTGTTGCTCCTGTTCTCGGACGTGGACCATCTCAAAGATATTCTCAGCTCGCCGCACTTGATCTCGTTCTGGCATCCGGAGAATTTCTACATCCTTCGCGAGCAAGGACAACCGTCCGCCACCTCGTTCGAGCAGGAACGATTCTGCCAGTGGGCGTTCGAGAGGCTTTGGAGGGTGAGAAGGGTGTATAAGCTGCTTCTGTTCACCGGTGACAAAGTGATCCGATACGATCCATTCGATTCGTACAACAGCGCCAGGTATCGCCGAAGTTGCGACTGGAATTGCGATAAATCGAACGAGGAGGGTGGCTTCCTGTTGATCGAGCGGCCGAATATCACCGAGGTGTCCGACTTTTTCGAGGAGGAGAGGCTCGACTTCAAGCGGTACCCGTTGAAAATATCCATCTTCGAGACGAGCACGATCTCTCTGAAGGAGGGGCGATACTTTGGCTTGGATTTCAAGTATCTGGAAGAGGTTTGCAGAAGATGAACGTGTCGTACGCCCTGATCAACTCCAAGGATAGATTCGGTTGGAAGGAGAACGGCACCTTCTTCGGGACAATTGGACACTTGGTGTACGGTTTCGCGGACGTTTCGTTCAATCAATTCTTCGTCAAGGATTATCAGACCAGACAGCTCGAGTTCACCGCGTCAATTACGAGTGACAAATTGTGCGTTCTTATACCGAAAGCTGCACCGCTGCCCGATTATCTCGTCATCGTCAAGATCTTCACGGGGAGAGCATGGTTGCTCGTGTTCGCCGCCCATTTCGTAATCGCGATGATTTACACGATATTGAAGACCGAGAAGTATCGAAATATGTTCGAGGCTGTGCGGAAAAGCGGGCAGGCGTTCTTCTGCTGCGAATATATCCCCGACTCGTATTTCCTCGAGAATGGAAACGGTCTCGTGTTCAACGTTGTTCGAGAAACGGGCGAGAGGGTGTCGTACGAGGAACGCGAGCGAGTGAGCGATCGAAATACCAGGTATTTACATCATATATATATATAAAATACCAGGTTTCGCCTTTGAAAGATTTCATCGGAGCGAAAGGAAAAAAAAATCATGACGGATTATCGAATCGAGTTTTGAGAAGAGAAGGATATTTTATTTGCGTACAAACAGCGAGCCATTGTTTGAATAAAAATATGAGTTTACACAAAGTATGAAGGAGAGAAATATATGATGGAATTAAAATAGGAATAGAAAATGGCTTTGAGCTTTTATCGTACAAAATTTAAAACTCGTAGAATTTTCTCTATTAAACTGTGATATTTCACGAAAAATATTTAATTCTATTCAACTTGCGACATCTGTAAAGAAAAAAAAGTTCTTTAAATATTTTAACTTTACTTTATTCTCAATAAGATTTTCGCTAAATGTTTATAAGAAAAAGAACTCGTGTAAACGAACGAATAATTAATTATTTTTATTTCTCTACTGCTTTCATACATTTTCGCAAATCTTGTTACACAAATCTTTTCACGACACAAGAATACAAGAATCATTCATTCCAGGAAGTATCCTCGTTTTGCTAACAACTTTTTCCTGCTCGATGGGTCACAAACCGTCCGATCGGCGACGTCCAAAACGAAGAAAAACGATTTGAAACGATTCGATCGAGCCTCTTTGTACCTTCTGTTAACGCTGGTACGCTATTTAATGAAGGTGGTATTTCAGCTTATGCAACCGTTTAAATTGGGTCAACCATGGTTCCCGGAGAGATTGTTGCTGATATGCAGTCTGCTCCTCAGTTTGATCCTCAATGGAATAATCACATCTCAACTTGCCTCCAGTTTCAGCAAACGAATGTACTACGAAGATATCAACACGTTGGAACAGTTGGAGAAAAGCGGTTCATATATCTTCTCGATTATTTTTTTTTTTTTCTTTTACAATCCCCGTTGTAGGTGGAATTTTTATTCCCTCTCATTTAATTTTCTAGGGATCACGATTTTAACCGACGCCAAAGACGTCATAAGCGACGCGTTCACCGATGTAACATCGCCGTTGATCAAACGGCTCCACGAGAGATTGGAATACGCGAACAGATCGGAAGTTCATAGAAGATTATTCGAGGTGAGGGATGCTGGCTATCTTCATCGAATCGCGACTCTTCCGTTGAAATACGACCAATATCAGAGACAAACGTTGCACGTCGTTAAAGAGTGTCCAAAGGATTACATCATAGCCAATGTGATAAAGAAAGGTTTGTGGAACAAAGTGATGAAATAACTATTTTATTTGATTGTTTTACGCCATCACGATTAACTTATTTCATCTCTTTACGAATCCTTCTCTTTCGTCACATTCTATTATCGCGCCACCTATTTTGTCGAATCCTTAAAAATGCACAGAATCCAATTAGGTATTTTCTTTGTAAAATATCGAACATTTTTTCGCCTTCAGAATTTAATCGATAACGTGTCTATCTAAAATTATTTTCCTTACCTTCCTTTCGTTTATTTCTGCTACTCTTGCACAATTCGTAAACAAATAAATATTCTCGATCCAATTGGAAAATGCAATTTCAGGATCACCTTTCGGAAGACGTATAAACACCATCCTTCTCAGATTGAACAATGGTGGTTTCTATAAGATTTGGTATCAAGCCATGTACCGATCGTTAAAACGGAAAGAGATGATGATGCTCGATGACTCGTCGATACATCGAAAGATCACGATTCGACATTTGTTTATCCCTTTCGGGATACTTTACCTCGGATTGACCACCAGCGTAATCGTATTCATCTACGAATATCGGCGAAACAACGTTTGACGTTTGGGTTAAGCCTCGAAGGGATGTTCAAACTGAATGTTCAAAAGCGATAACTGAAGTGGAAATCATTGTGTCTCCAGCGTGTCATTCCTTTGCCCTACAATCAAAGGGTGAAGGGTAAATCGAGTAAACGGGACGTGAAAATTTTAAAAAAAGACGCGTCATTTTCTTGTCTATTCGATAAGAAATTGTTCTCGATAGCTTTTGACGAACAATTTTTATGATAATTAATAATAAATATTGCTTTTTTAATTATCTTGAGATCTTCGCTCTTCAATTTTTAAAACGTGTAAATCTTACGATACATAATTATAACGATCTTAAGAATATAAAAATTATAATATGAAAAAATGATATTTATCTTAATTCGATTTTATATATATATATATATATAATAATATTTATTATGCGAATATAATTGGACGAAATTTCGTTATATTTACACGTGATGAAAATTTTGATTGAAATAAATCCAATAATGAATCGTACGATAACGATTATGTGTAATATTGTTTTTAATTCGATCAATTTGTAGAGAGAAACAACGTGTCCATTCGAAATATTTCTCTTTGGCAACGTGTAATTGTAATTAATTTTTTTGTAATAATTTCTGTAAACAGGATTTATATTCTGAATTGAACAAAATCCAAAAAAAATTCCCCGATTGCGTTCATTCATTATAGAAAGCAGGAAATCGTTCCGAGAATTACATCGAAATCGACTGGTCATCTCATTCTACGTGAATTTTCACGATAATACATATTTATTCATCCCCTGTGGAAATATCTCTTCCAGAAAATTAAACGAATCATCCTTGCTGAATTTAATAGGCTTTGCATCTTTTGCCAACGTAATATCATTTTTTAATGACATTTCTTTTTCTTTTTTTTTAATTATCTCGACACGTGGAGAGCTTCTATTTAAGAATTACAAATAATGTTAAAAAACTATTCTATTCAAAAGTTAATTTGAAACGACGATTCCTGAAAGTTATTCTATCGAATAAGAGAGAGAAGAAATTCATTCAGAAGTAGTGATATTAAGTTTTACGTAATTTTGCCCGATCGCACAATAAAGGAATTCCAGGAAACGTAAATCCTGTCTAAAAGCTAAAACTACTACTTATCCGGATTAATTAATGGTTCAGCTCGTATAAACTCTTAAATATACTTAAATTCAAAGCAAATTCACTTTGCTTGACTTTTGAGCTTGGTTCTTTAGATTTTTAATTTTTCGAATTTTATAGCAACACTTTTTACACTTTGACGGATAAAAATATAATATTTTTTTTCTCTCGCTGTAAATATTCAACGAGAGCGCTTTCAGATCGTTAAAAACTAAACGCAATCGATTTCAACACCATCAACTTTTTCCTGCGATCCGCTTTTTTTCTTCGCACAATTTTCGGCGAAAAAAGAATAGAGGAAAATTTCCCATGTATAAGAACGATCTGAATATCAAAAAGGTGTTGATTCGGAGAATATTTTTCACGACTTTATATTAGAAACGTATTAGACTTCGTTGTGGAACGATCGATCGTTTTGTCTGATTTTATCTCTCGAGATTTTGAAAAAGAATGGAACATGTTTAACATGTCCACTGTGTGCGCGTCGTAAATCTCAGTCGACAAAGTCCACGTACGGTATATCGATTTTTTTCCATACAATAACCTAACACAAAGAGTGTTTGGCTACATACGTTCAAAAACTTGAGACGTGATTCTTCTTCAAATATATCATATTATTTTTCAAAGTAAGACTGAACGATAGAAAAAAAAGAAAAAATTGAATTTTCAATTTTACTTTTTATTGACAATTGAAAATCGACGAAAATATTCCTGGACGCGAGCAAATTCTCTACGAATGAACGAACGTAGGACACGTCAGTGGATAGCACAGTGATCCTCAAATTCACCAACTTATTTCCTGTATAAATTGTAGAAAAGAAGACTATGAACGTTACAAAAAATCATTATCTCATATCTTCAGAAGCAATATTTTTTCAAAAATAAATATCTCTCTTATAATTTAAATCTGAAAACTCGATTAAACCTTATTAAAATTAGGAAAACTTTAAACCGTTATAACTCCGAAGATAACCACTTCCGGCCAACGAATAACGGATCATCGGAAGCGCGGAACCTTGCCCATTAAAATGCTTTTTCGTTTATCCCGCTACGATTTCCGGTTCTCGAGATATCGTCGTGTAAAGGGAAAGGTAATTTTTCAACCATTTACCATCTCCGTCCTTGTCGCTTACTCGGATCTCTCGCTCGCGCCTCGTCTCACTGACCTGTCCCAAATTGCAGACAAGCGACAGACGCGTTTCTTAGATTCCTAGAAAGAACGTAGTACGTAATTCTAAGGAGAAAATATAGGTCATTGGATCGTGGGCCCATTCATAATTTCTGCACGTCCTTAAGCGCTTATAAATCCTTATATCTCGACAACCAATCGAGATATCGGGATGAAACAAAAAGCAATTTCAACGGTATGGTTTCCTCTGTTCCTCGAGTAGATTTTGATCGACAAATTTTTCGTTCTTTTTCTGCTTTTTTTATATAAAAGATTAAAGTGTTATTTGTGATTTTTTTTTTGTAATTGTAATTTTATAATTAACTTGTTATTATGATACAAAGAATATATAATAGATATATTAAATTTATTTAATTTCACGCTTTTTTATATTTTACAAGATGGAGAATAATAAATAGGCAAAGTATAAATATTATTATAATATTGTTACGTTATATTTGTGTTAATACTTCGTATCCAGTCGATTAAATTTAGAAGACGATAAATATCGTTGCGTTTGAAGATCACTGTGCTCCTTGTTATTTGAGTTACTCTTCATTCGTTCGTGTAGAGAGGTTTGCTGATACCCACCGGATATTTTTGTCGTTTGTCGGTAAAAAAGCAAAACTGAGAATGATTTTTTTTTCTTCATTTTTTCCCCCTAAATTTTGTGATTTTTTTATAGTATTAAACTTTTACATAATTTATAGTAATACATTATATTACACACATAATGTGTATATTAAGAAAATTCTAATTTTTCGATATAATCGTTGTCAAGACACACAGATGAAAGAGGACGAATTCTTGCAAAAGACGATCATAATTTTACAATAGAAAATTTTCATCGACATAATGTCCACATCGCTAAGATGGAATAATAATTTCACTAATCTATCTTAAGTGGAATGCGGTTTCACTGTAATTTCGCGATTCTCAAAGCATTATCTAAAATTTATTGAAACGTCACAAATACAATCACGCTATATCCGCTTGATAACTACTCAAAGGACAATATTCGTTTCTCCAAAGACAGAGTTTGATGTAATAGCGGATAGTTTGTACAGAAGAATAATCATTCGTTCTGCGATGCTCTTAATATTTGACGTTTCATTCGTTTTACGCAGTGACAGGAATTTTTATTACGTTATTACCCTCAGCCGTAGGACGATACAAAACTATATTAAAAATCGTAGGACGCCTTCTGATACAAATCTTTAAAATTTAAATTATAAAAAAAAAGAAAGAAATATTTAAATTTTTCTGATAAAATTATTGATGTATCGATAATTTTGTATTTTTATTTTTACGTAAAGTATATCAAATATTAATACTTTCTCTCTATTATAAATATATATTTCTTTCCATTTGTTGTATACAATGTCCTAAAACTTTCGTATTATTAAACACGTATTAATAAAGAACTTTTAAACGTTTCGATAAAAGTTTCTGCGAGTATATTAATGATTGAATGATTAATTTATCTTTAAAATTACAAATGATTTAATTTTATAATAAAGAAATATTTTTGTTAAGAAGCAGTTTGTTAAGAAGCAGGTATGATACAGCATGTCGAGCAAAAGAAAGGAAATCAAGAGAAAATTTTCAAGAGTTTTTTCTATTGTTTAAAATTTCCGTTAAGAATAATTCCAGATGATTATTCTTTCTTCTTTCTTTCACCGCTAATATAAGTAATTATTCTCTGTAATATAAATTTTCTCATTTACCAACGCAACTCTCAACGCAAAGGAAGAAAGTATCTTCAAAATTGCACCAGTGTGTAATTTCAACGATTGTAGATGTATTTTTACACGAATTAAAGAAGAAAATTCTTCGAGATCGTATTCGAAAAACGTTGAAAATAAATAATGAGATTTATATGATTTTTAATAAATCGAATCGAAGAAGAGATTTTTATAAATTTATTTACAAAGAAACGAGGAGAAATTATTATTAAAAAAATAATTATAATTATTATGAAAAAAAATTTAACGTAATTATTGCGCGGCATTTTCGAAAAGGAATATTTTTTTTTTTCAAGAAAAATACAATTTTTTGCGGCCTTATCGTTAAGTTGATTCAATCGTTTCGAAAAAAAAACAAATACTTTCGTAACACAAACAGGTACAAGTTAATCGAATTTGGTGAAGCATCTTCTTCGAAGAAATGAAATACGTGCTTTGAATATTAATTCGAGGTACAAACCCTGTTTAGGTAATTTGACTGAAATTCAAAATAGTTTGATTTATAATTTATTCTTGACATCCAAATATCGATTTGTTTTTAATATACATCATTAATTATCCCGCATTAATAATTTATCAGATTTGTATAAAATTGCGGTTTAATAATTAATCAATCTTCACGACGTGAATAAATAATTAATAATTTTATTATTCAAATTGTTTTCGATTAAAATGAAAGCAACGCTACGTGGTAATTTTTTTATTTTTTTATATTCAATTACTTTTTCTTGTTCCTTCATTAATAATGAAAAACGTATAAATTTCTCTCTTTTTTTTTTTAAATCAAACGTCAAACAAAGCCCATATTTTTTTTTTTTTTATCGTATCAACTGGTGGACGAATTGAATTTAATAATAAATAAGGCCGCACGTGTTTCACCGACAAGGAAGAGGATTCAAGTGAAAATAACTAATCATCGTTGATTCGGCCGATGATAACCAACTGCTCCACTCTCAGATATTCCGATTTAACGATTTTAGTTCGAGTAAACGAAAGAAAACGAACGGAAAAACGTGAAGACGGGGGGAAATGAAAGGAATATTAAAAAATTCTTTCCCTCGTCGTCCGTGAAAAAAATTAAAACTTCGAAACAAACTTGGAATAAATTCGCGTGGAAAAATTTCCAAGAAGCGTAACAACGATAAAACTTCTTTATTGCACAACGCGTTTAAAACTGCCAGTTTATTTCCCGATTTAAATTTCCCGCCGAGAAGAAGAAAAGAGGGGGAAAATATAAATATAAACTCGATCCCTCTGTCCCCCTATGTTTCAGACGAATGTTCTAACGTCTTTTTCTGTTTCGTTTCGCGGCTTGTAATTCGCAAAAGAATATCAAGGTGGATAAAAGCAGACCGATGAACAGCAATAAAAAAGCCAAGACGTAATAGCCGAGGGACAATTTGTGTATTTTCAAGAAATCTTCCATCCCCCCCTTGTTGTATAACGTAACGAAATACTTCATCTCGTCTATCCAGTGTTCGGGCAGGCCTGCCTCCGTCATCCTCAACAACACGAAATTCACCCTTTCCGCGTACGGAGAGCGCAACCTTAGAATATAAGAAATTCTGTAAGTCATCGCGCACTCGTCGACCATGTAGAGCAAAGATTTTCCACGATCGTTGTAATATCTGTGAGGCAACAGTTGTATATTGTAGAGTCTGGTGATCGAGATCTTATCCTCGGCCAACACGATATTTTTCGTCGATCGTTGAAACTCGATCACTTGAATCCTACCCCACAGCTCGGAGTCGACGAACGCCTGCTTCAAGTTCTCGTACTTGGTGATCATCGTCTTCCCGGACCTCACCACCTCGTCCACGGTGCGATACTGGTAATAGTGGAACGGCTTGTTCAAACTGGACACCAGGAAACTCTGATACAAACCGCTTATAACGAGATTGAAGAAAAGTATACCGGTCAACAGCGCCCTTTCGGCCGTGTACTCGCTGTCCCGTATGGGATAGCAAAGGTACTCGAAGAAGGTGAAGAATTTTTCCACGATTCGAGGAATTTCCGGTGGTTTCCTCCCCGAATCCCCGAAAACAGATTCCATCCCCCGAAGATTCTTCGCTCTGTTCTCGATGATGATCCTCGCACGATCGTTGGAAAACGTCGCTCGTCGTCGGAACAACGAGCTGAGATACCTTACGAGCCTCCACAACAACGTGATCACGACGTTGTACGTTATCAGTACGAGCCACAAGTGCGCTCGAAAAGGGAAGAAGAACACGTACATGTTGGGTATGAAGCCGTAATCGGTCATCACGAAGCATATCTTGTCCTCGTACACGGAAGGGGTGAATTGAAACTTTTGAAAACGATCGTAAGTCTTGACGAAGAATCCCGTGATGCACATGTCGGTTGTTCCACGCTCGATGTCTTTGATCAGGAACGAGAACGGGTCCCGTTTGATGTTTCTCTTCCTCACCGCTTTAATGTTGAAATTCGCCCGCATAGCCTTCTCGAGAACGAGCAACGCCTTCGCGTCTATTTTATCCAGCCTCAACCTGTTCCTACGATCGTACGAAATTTTCATCAGTATAGACTCGAACACCGACACGTTCACGGGATAATGATTCAAATTTTGAAAGTTTTCGAACAGCCTCGCAGATCCCAGAATCTCGTTCAGACACGTTTTGTACACGACCCCGTATTCACCCTTGCGCCTCTCGAAAGGTTTGTAGGTGAGCACGCATCGAAAATCGTCCCCGACCGAGACGATCATCACCCTGTAAGCGTGATACCGCCTCCACAACGTTTCGAAAATATCCCTCCAAAAGGGGATCTCGACCGGCGATCTCCCCGTGAACACGATCAAGTATTGATCGTTCGCGTTCCAAACATGCAATTTCCAATGGACGAGGATCAAGTCGTCGATCGTGAATAACCAAGTGATCCCTTCTTCCAACTCGTTCCTCGCTTGCCCATCCCTCACTTTATACGTCTGGATCGAATTCGCTCTGATATATCGGAGAACAGCGTCGATGGGGGCCGATTGAAATTTCGTCAATATTACGGAGATGGTGAGGGGTTGGAACTCGGGGGATTGGCGAATAAAATTCAACACCAGCTCCAGATTGTCGATCTTCTGCCTGGATAACAGGTTGTCCTCGATATTCTTGAATTTATCGTGGAACCAGGAGTGCCTCGTCGGAGTGCAAGGTTTCATCAAGATGAGGAAGGAGAGCAGGTATATCAGATACATTTCTCTCGTTCGAATCGTTTCGTTATCGATCCCCTCGCTGCTGCTTCTTTAAGACGATCGCTTCGAACCAATTTTCATCTTCTCTCCTCCGATTTTAACAAATCGGCCGCGCTCAACTGGCCGATCGTGAAAACTCCATTTCAAAAGTGTTTTATATAGACGAACGATCATTTATTATCGTGAGATTAAAACCGGTTCTATTAATAATCCTGTTCATTATTTACGACGATTAGATCGTGGATTAATTGTTCCACGATCGTTTGTCACCGATGTACGAATCGTGGATTTAAGGGAGGAGGGGGAGGTTATTAATTATTCGGAAAAAAGAAAAAGAGAAATGAAGAGAAACGCTTGGATTGAAGTTGAGAGAAGGATAATACGCGGGTGTATATTATCAAAGAAACGGAGCGAAAAAGTTTAGAACGAGGACTCGACGCTAGTATTCATATGCACCCGTTCATATAGGAGGAAAATAAAGTTGCTATAGGAGGGAACGTGATCGAAGATTAAAATCGAAAAGATTGAAAAGTTGTGATTGTAACGATTCAGCTAGCAGGTGGTAAAAATAATCGTATCGTAAATCATCCTATACGACGAAGCGGATCGATAAACGCGGCCATTTTACACCACTGATTACAGTTATTTCTAATTTTTCTCCGAAGTCGACGATGCGAAAAACGATGATGAACGACTTATCCGTTGATTTCTTAGGTCACGCGAGTCGTTCGTGAAAAATGGCGGGAAAATACAGCGTTCGGAAGAAGGAAAATGATGGAACGTTACCTCGAAACGTTACCTCGTTTGAAATTTTTCTGGAAAATTTTTTTCTTTCAATCGCCTTTAAATCTTATCGCACGATCGAGTTGAATCGAAGAAGTAATTCAAATAATTAATATCCCCGATAACGAAGAGATCTATCTTATTTTAATATCACGATATTATCGGAGTTCCGAGTATCGAAAACAAGAATCGAATTATTATATATTTCCTCCCCTCCCCTTTTTTTTCTACTCGCTCGATCAAGCGTGATAAATATCGAATGTGAAAATGTGAAAAACGAGAGGGGGGGAAAAAAAATGATCGACGATAGATAGATGCAAAACGAAAAAAAAAAAAGAAAGAAAAAAACACATCACTGGCGTGAAAGAAGCGTTTGATGAAATGAACGCGTGCACTCACTCTTCCTCCCTTTTCTTTCTCCTTATTCGTTCGATTAATCATCTTTTTCTCGTTCGATTGACCATCGAACGTGCGTGAACGTATCGTAACGATCGTTCTGGATGATCAAGAAAAGTGATAAAAATTGAGGGTGAAAGAACGCGAAGAAGAAGGTCGAAAAAAAAGAAAAAAGACTCTTCGTATCATTTTTTTTTTTTTTTTCTTTTCACTTTCGAAACACAGACTTCTGTTCGACTTTTGCTAACTTTGTTCAGTTGGAAAGATTTTATGCGATTTTCATCCATTTATTTCTCCCTGTTTACCTCGAGAAAATCAGGCAAAACATTTCCCTCTCGTTTGCCAGGCTTTGACAGATCATTAGGTCGAAAGTAGAATATTATTTCGCTCATTTCCATCCGATATTTGTCAAGAATTGTCTCTCTCTCTTCTCTTCTCCCTCTTCTCAATTATCATTATTGTTATCATCGTTAATTCGGATCCTTTCCCGTTTTTTAATTTCGTTTAATTAATTTTTATTCCCTCTTTTCACAACCTCTCCCGTTTAAAAATTAAAATTGATCTCGTTATCGGGAAATGTTTGCAGATACTTAACCTTAGCTTTAATGATGGATTAAATAAAAAAAAATTAATTAAACGTTCCCATTCACTTGGCCTGGCCAATTCTAAGAGATTTTACGGATTTTTAATTAAAGAAATACAAGAGTGGGAAAGAATGACAAGGGAGTAATTAAATTTAATGAATCGCTGCATGTCACTTCTTTAAACCTGTGCTTTAATGGAATTTAATACGGCAAAATTCGCTGAATAACCCGCTGATAATTAAATAAATCGGATCGATCAAAGTAACCGAGTGTACGAGTGTGAAATATATTGGCTCGTTTTAAAAATTAGAGGGCCGACGTGAAATAATCGATTCGACAGCCCATAAACAACAATAATCGTAATAATTCTACAAATACGCGTTAATATCCAACATTTTCAATCTTTTAGATTTTATTTTCGCTCAAATCTCGTTTTCTCAAAAAAAAAAAAAAAAGGAAAAAAATTCGTTTTCACTCATCCATCATCCATTAATAATAATAATAATAATCTTATCCTTTATTTTTCCTTTTGCGTTAAAAATAACACTAGTTGATTTAAATATAAATTTTTCCCCGAATTTCGATCCTTGAATGCTGCCTCTTGTTTCTCTTGCTGCGCGCGTGATTCGAATTGGAAGAGAATGCGAAACCCGCACGACAACGCAATTGGAAACGCAAACAAGGGGCACGCACGCAGGTCGAGGAGGATGGAGGCAGATAATCAAGCGAAGGAAGAAGTTTTTGATCGAGGCTGGTGAATTGTCTCGAAAAGACGATGGATAAATAGGGATGCGGAGTAAACAAGGCGTGATTGCCTATTTCCATGGCGTTCACGCTTCTACGTGGCGTCCAATTATTTGCATTCGAGGGAAAAGCGCTTAAAGGATATTTACCATTCGGAAAGGAAGGTTATTGTTATCATTAAAAGGGATTGATGCAAATATTTGCCTCAGGGAACGATCCCTCCATTTCCTCGCCGATGATTTATTTTCGAGTTTTGGGAAAAATAAAGAATGATCTCTGATCGGGTTTTTTTAAATTTTTATTCTCTCTTAAAAAATAGTGCTTTTTAAAAAAAAGAGGAAAGAAAGAAAGAAAGAAAGAAGCGTACGTTTCGAATTTCGAATCGGGTTGTCAAGGATCCGTTTTTTTGTGAGAAGAGTTGTTTGAGAAGCTGTTAGCCAATTATAATTTCATTCGATTCCACGCGTTGCAATTTAATGACGGGAATTTGCACATCGATTTGTAATTATTATTACCGGGACGGGGATGATTCATGGAATAATTCAAATGGAAGAATTTTCGAGTCATATTACAGAATCTAATTTAAACTTGTAATCTCTTTACTATTCCCATTAGTATTTCTCTGATAGCATGATTCCCAATAACAGTGTGACCTACACGGTCATTCGAATGGAAAAGTTTTTCAATAAAATCTCGTCTAAAGTTGCAATTTCGTTTTAAACGATTCGAGGTATAATAATAATGGCTGGTTATTATTTTTCTTTTTTTTCTTTCTTTCTTTCTTTCTTTCTTTCTTTTCTTTTTTTTTTACCATAAATATTCAACCCGATCGAATCATGGAGCTCGACGCGAAGGAAGGAAAGACAGTTTTACTTACTCGAGATTTTTGAATATTCTTGCGCCTTAAGAGGGAAATTTTGTAGAAGAATTTTATAAAATTTCTCTTTCTTCCGTCGATTCGACAAATTCATATTTCCCCCGCAAACAAACTTTATCAAACTTTGGCCAAGTTTGTGGTACAAAGTGTATATTATAAACTGAAACACGGAACAAAGAGATCGAATCAACGCTCAAAGATGAATCTTCTTTCTTATAAAAGAAGAGGGGAAAATGTTATATTATAAGGGCATATTAAATCGGCATACAGATGGTAAATATTATCTTTCTCCATTCGTTCCTCGAACGAATTACGTTTTAACAGATATGTGATCAGTTTCGTTGCAAGTGCAGAGGATGATGTGCTATCGAGCTGTGTAGAACGATCTACCGTTGAATTGGACACACGATTATTATATAATATCGATAGAAAGGAGAGAGAATATATGGAATATGTATTCGTAATTTATTTCCTTTTTCCTTTTTTTTTTTTTTTTTAATTAAATCATTGCCAGATTACAGATTTCAATTTGTATTCCATTATTTTTTTGTGGAAATTATTCGTAGAGAAAAATGATTTCGTTCCATGATAATTTTCGAGTATTAATAACAATTTTTAATACAGCCGTGAATGAAAAACAGATTTAAAGAGGTATTAAAGATTCGTATATTTCATATTTGTTTGTACATTTTTCATCGTTCGTTGCGACAAATTTTTTCAACCAAATCTTGATTCGCTTTCTAAAAATAAAATATTATTACGTTAGATATATATATATATATATATATATATATATATATATATATATATATACTA